CACGTAATTAGGAACTGCAGAATACAGGTACGAAGTCAGCTTATCATGATGTCTCACATGCACATCGTGTAGACAGAACTTACCCCGGTGTGCCAACAAATCCCAAATACTGGGTCCTCTGCCTTCATCCTTAACCGCGCCTTCGATCTGATACGCGGAAGAACTAAAGCCCCATTGGAAGTTCTCGGGGAGCTTCAAGCCCTGTACTTCGGGATATCCGCTTCCTACAAGAGCGTGATAGTATTGAGGATCTGGCTGCGGATATGCGGTTGGCTCTGCTGTTGGTTCAACGGTAGTCGTGATGGGTCCTGTAGCGATAGGCCCCACCATGTCCCAGAGCGAGGCGAGTGCATTGGGTCCGAAATCAGTGCGGGTATAGGCTGTGGGCTGTGCGGAGGCGTTGAAGCTTGAGGTACTGTAGCCTGAAGGCAAGACATAAGAGATAGTAGCTGTCCCGTTGCTCTGGGCAGTGGCAGGAGCGGCGAAGACAAGAAGGCTCAAGACCGACAGTAATTGATCCATCTTGAAGAGTCAAGGTGGAATAGCACGAGATGTTGCACCACTATGAACGGATCCAGAGACCATTTAAATAAGTACCTATGTACCTCTACTAGATCTATCCGCATCATACCGGGTGGTTTCATTGTGCTCCCCGCTGACGGAAACCTTTGATCGATGGAGCCTACCCGGAAATTTTGAGCTCGGCGTGCATGGTACCCCTCAAGAAAGTGCTCAAAATCATCTTTGTGCACCCGATATAGTGGATTACAAAAGGCTACAAAGGCAATCGTTGGTCGATTCCAAGGAGCTAATGTAAGCTCCAAGCTTCGTTGCGGTACCGAATGCTCGAGCGTGAGGATTTGCACCAAGACCGCAAACGTCATCAACGGGCAGGCCAGCGGAACTGGCGGAGTGAATTTCCGTGCCGAAAGAGGAATAGATCGAGGCTGCTGCCGATTGATTGGTGGAGGCAAAGCTTCTCGAAGCCATGCACGGAGCTATTGCGGGGAATCAACAACCATCTTGACTGATTGTTGAGCTTCCAAGAGACGTCGTACGAAGCTGTGTACCCAGATAGTAAGGTGAGCGGCAGAACAGAAGGCATGAACGGTCCGCCGACCGGAGCTTGGTGAGATCGGTAGAAGGAAACACGGGACGAAAGGACGCAATTTGACAATGAAGCGGTGCTGCGGGTGGAGGACACAAAGATTCTGGATGCCACAGAAGGGGATTGTGTCGTTTTGCCCCGGCGCACCTTTACTATGCAATTGTCGGGCTTGACCGAGGAGGTTTATTCAGTTCATCGCTACGTAAAAGAGTCCTAGCAGAACGTCACTAGGTTCTCCGGGTATATGGTCTTCGCCGTATTATATGACGAAGGTGGGAAGAAGTCCACAAGGAGCTTGTGGTGACTCGTTTCATTTAAGCCTTGCGCTGCTTCTTCGAGGGCGGCTCTTGCTCTGACTTGCGACCCTTGCCCACCAATGCGCGAATGTCGACTGGTTCTTGTTCGTCGTCGTCGTCATCATCGTCACTAGCATCCATGACATCCAAGTCGGATAGCTCCTCGTCGTCTTCGTCTTCGTCGAATGTGCTCTCTGTGATCCGTTAGCGACGGGATGAAGAGTAGTTGAGCGCATGCCACGTACTGTAGTACTTAATAGCGTTAGGCCACATGTCTTCGGCGAGGATGGTAGCAACCTCATCGCCGCCTGGGAAGACCTCGATCTCCTGGTAGTCTTGCGGGTCTTCTTCGTCCTCAGCCTCATCCTCGTCATCGACCTTCTCCCCTCGCCTGATCTTCTCGAACCTCTCCTTCTCCTCCTTGGCAGCCTGTGCTGACTCCTGTGCGCTGACCCAGCGATAGCCGGAGACGAAAGAGAAGAGACCGAAGAAGCTAACAGAGGCGTCTGTAGCTGTTTCGATCTTCTTGGCCAGGTTCTTATATTCCTTAGTCTTGGCCTCCTCTTTCCTCGCAACGCCGTTGGCAGTGTCGGTTGCCAACTTCTTCCTCATCTCGCCCAGCTTGTATGCCGCATCCGTGAGACCACCGGTAAGGTCCTTGTCCTTCTTCCAGTTGATTTTGACAGGCTCAGAAACTAGACCTTGCCAGTCCTTGGTCTTCCTGAACCAGAACTTCTTCTCGAGCACCTTGTCTTCGAAGTATTCGTTGTCGGTGAAGCCGAACTTGAGCGAGAAGCTGCGCGGGGAGCCATTGGGGTCATTGAGCTCGATCCGCGACACCTCAAAAGTATCGAGACACTCGGCGAAAACCTTGGAGTCGGTGGGCTGGATGAAGTTGTCGATCTCGGGCGGCGCCTGCTCGAAGACGAGCGACCAGAAGTGCGGGATCTTTGTTACGAAGTCGGCGCGCTTCTTGTAGAGAGGGCCCTGCAGAGCTTCGGCTTGGCGGACTGCGATGGGGTTAGCAATGCGACTTCCTTTCTCGAGACGCGACGTGATAGAAATGGAATCGCAACTTACTGATTTCCTCTTCCACGTCTTCGAATTCGTGCTCAAGAGCCGCAAGCTCCTCGAAGCGAGCGACGTCTACTTCATTCATTTGGTGATCCATGGGTTTCGAGCAGCTGCCGCCGGGTGAGCAACAATTTGACACTTCAGACATTAAATCTTGGTGGAATGACGAAAGACTTCAGCCGTGAGCATTGTTTATAAAATTTCCGAACTGCTGCAGGGATGTTTGCGCGACGGGGCCCACTTAAAAAGGCGGAGGTGCTCGGCCCCACGCACCCGTGCACACGTTCATCCCGGCTTCTGCACCCTTCTGGCAGCAGAACGCATCTATCTGTCCTGCTTCGTCGACACGATAGACCGACGCGAAGTTCTATGGCGCGGGAAATCAATCTACATCGTGATTATTTTAACGCGGCAGGCACGTCAGCAGAAGGCCCTTAGGGTGGCTGGGAGTCACAGAGATGACTTGCTTTCATTCACTCCGCCACAGCTTCGCTCGTGGCAGTGCGCTCTGGTACATTCACGATAGGCAACACCCGATACCCCACAGTGCCATATAAGCTCGCTACTGCCTCTGTTCGACAATTGTAGTCATAGCAATCAGGGTCCAACGAGAACAACACGCAATCCGCTTCTACCAGGCCCGACAACGATCTGCGCAATACTCGCTCCTTAGGTACCTAGGTAGCCATGGGAGGTCTCGCGTTCGCGAATGTTCCAATAGACTCCGGCAAGACCATCAAGGTCCCTCGCCTGCCACCAGCACTGTACAAGACGCTCTCCGCGCAGTATCAAGGCCTTCTGGAAACACTATTCGTACGCGTTGTCGTCCCGCGTGACGCTCCAGCCAAGACAGACCATGGGGACATCGACTTCTTGGTAGAAGGCATTCGGCCACCCAACACCAAAGAGGGGATATGGGCAGCAATACAGGAGACTCTCGACGCCGATATCCATCTCCCACGCGGCGGGTCCTCTTCCTACGCGGTGCGACATCCCGAAATACCAGATGCCCACGTGCAAGTCGACGTCGAACTTTCAGTTGGAGATGAAACCCCGGAAAGCGCTGAGCTCTTCGAATGGACGCGCTTCATGAAAGGCGACGCTGACCTCGTGCAAATCATTGGCGTCTCTCATCGTCCGCTGGGTCTCACCTGCAATGACCAGGGCCTGCATGTACGAGTCGAAGAGATTGAGCCATACAACAAGAAGAAAGCTCTACTATTTCTCACACGAGATCCAAATCTCGCGATCGCTTTCTACGGCATGGATGTCGCAAAATACTGGTCAGGGTTCAAGGATGAAGACGATCTCTTTGACTGGGCTTCCAGCGGGCGGTTCTTTTCGCACAAGATCTTCGAAGGACGTGTCGAGAAGCACAATGATCGAGCCCGGCAAGCAAAGCGGCCCATGTACCAGCGTTTTGTAGAGGACTACATGCCAGCGCATCCCGACAAGGGTGATGCAAACACGTGGACTAAGCAGCAAGTACTGGAAGAGGCTCTTGCAGTTTTCAAGAAGCAGGATGAGTACGACACTATGATGAAGGATCATCACCTCAAGACGGCGGAAGAAGAGCTCTGGAAGGAGATCAAAGTCACGGTCCCGATACAAAGCAACTCTCTCGCTCTCGTTCTGAAGGGCTTGAGGCGTTGGGTCATGTTCCAGGATAATGAGCCGCGCATTTCGTCTGAGCCCAACCTTGGTGAGCCTTTAATCTGGTCCAAATTTGTATCGGCGGACAACAAAGACGCTGTGCTCAAGTGGGTGAAAAATAACTGGGAACAAGTCAAGGCTTTGGAGAAGGCGCGTGCGAATGCTGCCAAGGAAGCCGCGAAGGGCGCATCGTGAGGTCTGGGCCAGGCTGATGAAAGTCAAAGTAGTGCAAGGCGCAGACATGACAGAGACTTATGCGGTAGTGGTACTGTAGATACTGTTTCCAATCGCGTTCACACGTGGTACTGTACGCATCTAAATTTTGCGGTTTTCGTGACGTAACGCGTGGATCTCTTAAGCCGATGGTTCCCATGCAGCTGCGGGCCTTTTTAACGCGAGCATGATCAGACCTGGCTTCGCGATGCAAATTTTCAGTTTCGTAGGGGTAATAGAATCGAGTTTCGAAGGGGTAATACGGACGATTTTGTAGGGGTAATCAGAATACCTAAAGTGGGTCGCATGGTCGAACCTGCTACTTCGGCCCGATGGGAAAGGGCAACTTGATCACGACGATTTGCAACATTTCTCCGATGGTCAGTAGTCATCGCTGCGAGTGAATTGCGCTACGCTACTCGCTATCTTGCCAAGATTGTGTCCCAAGGTGGCTCTTATCTTTTTTGCTTTGTGCGGTACCGGATCGTGACGAACCTTCAAAGGCACTACCTTGTCAGACGGATCTCGATCGACAGAACCCAGCTACCACTCACAGCATTGCTTGTTTCGCACCGAATAGCTTGCTCGCATCCACAAGTCTCCGCCTAACAAAGATAAGCCCTACGACAACTTCGATCCTCTAGCGCGTGGACGAGATGGACGACCAGTATCCCGAGCTGCAACTGCCAGAGTCACGGGTCTTGATCGTCATAACGGGTATATATTCATGGAGTGGACATTATGTGTCCGTCTGTACTAACCTCACTAGGCGGCACGATATGCATGCGCAAATCTCCAGACGGACTGGTACCTGCGCGGGGTTTCCTCAAAGCTGGACTTGCACCCAGACCAGTCTTCAATGATGGATCGTACCCCGAGCCTTTGGAGATTGTTACCGACGACAAGGGCACACGCAAAGCCGTTCAAAGTCTTAGAACTCCAGTCAGCACCTATGATCGCCGCGTGCGATACTGCGTGCTCGAATTTGAAAAGTTGCTCGATAGTAGCTCTATTGACTCCACTGGTTGGGATCAAATTGCCCGGACGGTGCAGCGAAACTACCAACTCTTCGATGGTTTCGTTATTTTGCATGGCACAGACTCTCTGGCGTACACGTCGTCGGCGTTGAGTTTCATGTTCCATAATCTGGGGAAGCCGGTGATATTGACGGGATCTCAAGCGCCAATGATGAACTTGCAAACCGATGCACAGGACAACCTCCTGAACTCTCTGATCATTGCTGGACATTTTATGATACCGGAAGTGTGTCTATTTTTCAACTTCAAGTTGTTCCGAGGAAATCGCGCGACCAAAGTATCTGCAGAAGACTTTGACGCATTTGGTAGCCCCAATCTACCACCGTTGGCTACTGTCTCATCTACCAAGACGAATGTCCTGTGGCACCGCGTTCATAGATCTGTCGATCTAAGACCTTTTACTATACAAACCAGTCTGGATACAGCACACGTAGCTTGCCTGCGTGTGTTCCCAGGTATTACACCTGCAATGGTAGATGCAGTCCTACGCTTGGAAGGCCTCAAAGGACTGGTACTGGAAACTTTTGGAGCCGGAAATACCCCCGGAGGACCAGACAGCGCAATGACGCGATGTTTAGCGGATGCGGTAAAGAGAGGGATCGTGATTGTGAATGTAACACAATGTCTGAGCGGCAGTGTCAGCGCTCTATACGCCCCAGGAGCGTACCTCGGTCGTGCAGGCGTCGTTTTCGGCCAGGATCTAACCTCAGAGGCAGCGCTCACTAAGCTGGCATACCTCCTTGCGCTACCGGATGCTACCCCCGAAGAGGTTGCGAAGCGCATGTCCGTTTCCTTACGTGGCGAGCTCACTGAGACTACAAGGACACATTTCGAACACCCGTCAAGAAGTGGTGTCCTTACCCCTGAGCTTTCAAGTCTCACAGCGCTCGGCTATGCTGTCCAAAAGGGCGACCTGCAAGCGACAAAAGACATAATTCGAGGAGAGCCTCGCTGGTTGTTGAACGATGCAGATTATCAAATGAACAGCCCTGTAGTAAGTGCCATTCCATCCACTCAGCATCCTTATGACTATCTCTGCCCTCCGAGTCACCTTCCAACAACAGCACGCAATTTGAGACCTTCACTGTTCCTGTATCATGCGAGAGCCGGTATCGGAAGGGTTGCACCATATTTGCTGCACGGCTCGTAACGCATACACCATTATCAAGATAAAGGAACGAGACGCCGCCGGCTCAGAGGGACAGAGCCAAACAGCTCACAGTTGTGCCCCAGTAGTGCGGTGAGACGCAGTCGCTTATCTTCCAGCCCATCACCGCATTGCATTCGCTTCTGGAGCGACTTAATCCGTCTGAGCGAGATTGCGTTCCTTGCTGACGTGCCGGTGTAGCATCTTGCGGCAACAAGCCCCAACGTTGAGATTCTGCGCGACTTTCTGGCCCAAGGCGCCTCTGTGCATCTTCGAAACCGATCAGGAAATACCCCGCTCTTCTTGGCCGCAGCGGCTGGCTTACCAGATCACGTACAGACATTAATCGACGCAGGAGCCCATCTTCACAGCGATGAAGTCAGTGCCGCAAAGCTGCATGCGTCAGAGGGCGACGGCAACGCTGAAGTTTGGAGCCGTGTGATTGGCTGAAATGTGCAGCACGTTGAGCACTGCTGGGAGCACGGTTGATTGTGGCTGCTTGTTGGCTGCAGCCTAGCGAGCAAATTGTCTATATGATGGATGCATGGCGCCTCGAAATGTCGCCATATATGGCACGTTGGTCCCCAGAGTCTGGTGACGCACCGGAATCAGCCCGACGAATGCTGCAGCGTTGACAGAGGTGAATCATTGGAGTTACGCGACAATATCCCGGCTGCTATCATGGAGCGCAACCCACTCGGAATCTTGCCGCTGATAGGAGCACTCGTGGTCGACCGCAGTTGTGCAGTAACGCTGGTATGGCCGGGGTCGACGTGGACATGAAGGTATACACCAAACGATGGTGCTGGATAGACCCGCCATGCGTGTGGGGAAGTTATTCAAGTGCGTGTCCGCATTTAGATTGAAGATGTACATCGACCAGGGCGTCCCGCTAAAGGCATGGAGACCTCGGGAGCTTGTTTCAGTTAGTAAAAGAAATCTCTGTGCCAAGAACCGACACCGTGATGTCCCTTACACTCGGGGTAACCCGTTGATAGCACGTTTTCTACAGGTGACGGTAGATGGCTCCGAGTTCAGCAACGTGTACAGCGCAGCGGTTTCTGACGGCTCCATATATCCGTCATTCGCGGTCCCTGAACTTAGTGTATCCCCGCATTGACTCGCAGACACTGCCCCTCATCGATTTCTTTGCGTTACGAGCAGATTCGAATGTGGAGCGCTCGTCTATGAATTAGCCTACCAAGCTCGTTGCAGTCGGATGATAGTGCACGCTGCTCGCTTGTGTATGCATAGTATGGCGTGTCGAAAAACGAAAGGCGATTCTGCGAGATTGTTCCGCCATGGCCCAGTAGAGCAACTCGAACAGTCTCGAGTGATAGAGTGGACCACTACGGGCATATTGCGCTGGCCAACTGTGGTAAGTAGTGGCCGCGGTCAGGTGTTCGCGATGTCAAGCGGAGCCTATTCGCCCTTGCGGGTGGACTATTAGGTAAGGCTTTTCCCAGCAATGCAAATGACGAGCCCAAACTTGGCTGTAATGTCATACAAAAAACAGCTCGTTTCGAGCTTCTCCTGTTTCTCCGGTCGGCGTCTTTGACCGTAGCTCTGCTCTTTAAACATTGCGTGTGTCTACGTCAAAGGTAAAGGAATCGGACCGCAACCTCAACCTCAGAACACGACGACTAGCTTCGCGCAACCCTGCATAAAGCGACTCACGTGCCTGCCATCGATCGCACTATCAGAGGCTTGACCACCTTTGTGCGTCGCAAGCACGTTATTATCTGCCCGCCGAACCGGCATCGCTGACGCCGCCGAACCGAATCCCTCCCAAGGTTACCACTACCCTTACACCAAGTCCTTATCTCACCCTCACCCGCCATTGAGCTACTGCCTACTTCCCGGAGCCCCAGGTGACGACTGCCCGGTATCCTCGCGCCTTGGCCCTGTTTGTGTTTTATATACCCACAACCACCCTTCCGAAAGTCGCAACTTCCACAGGACCGCGAAAAAATTTCTCTAAAGCACTTCTTTTCGCCCAAGATTCTCGCTCAAGGATACACGAATGCAAAGGACCGTCGTTACCATCAACAGCAATGGCCGCCAATCGGCGAGCTTCATTCGCGTGGCCGCCGCACTAGGATGGCAAGTACGAGCGCAGATGCGAGACTTGAACGGAATAGTTGCGCGGGAGCTGTCGGAATTGGACAATGTTACTGTCTATATTGGCGCGCTGGAAGACAAGAAATTTCTCGACGATCTGTTCAAGAGCGCGCAATGCGCATTCATAAATACCACGCACTGGGGAGACGAGGTTTCGATTGGTCGATCGCTTGCCGATGCCGCAAAGAAGGCCGGAATCCAACACTACATCTACTCTAGCATGCCCGACCACTCTGTCTTTGGCAACAACTGGAGATCACTACCACTATGGGCACCCAAGTTCACCGTCGAACAGTACATTCGCCAAATCGGCCTGCCAGCAACCTTTGTTTACTGCGGCATCTACCACAACAACTTTACCGGTCTCGACTTCCCGCTATTCCGCATGGAGCACCAGTACGATGGAAGTTTCGTCTGGCAAGCACCATTCCACCCAGATCAGCCTCTGCCCTGGTTGGACTCGGAACATGATATAGGACCAGCTATTTACCAACTATTTAAGGAAGGTCCACGAAAGTGGAATGGCAAGCGGTAAGCGTGTTCTGCATCTGCATATCCCGGTCCACATCATGCGGACAGTCTCCACAGTGGTTCGATCTGGTGGCTTAGCATCACTGGTGGTCGACTGTAAAATTTTCCGCCATTTTCTCGCATGCTGTCATGACGTGGCTGCATCACAAGATACCTGTAGGGCACGTAAGATTTTGGACTATGTACTGACTGACTCAGGATTCCGCTTGCATTTGCGTCAATGACCCCGAGAGAAGTCTGTAAAGCATTCAGTACGGGCCTCCGGAGACCAGTCCGCTACAAGCGGGGCCCCATAATGATCAACGTGCCCACACCCACAGGCTATCGGGAGCACCTTTCCGCGCTGGAGTACACACTGGGCGAGAAGGGCGCACCGTACTTTGGACCCGACCTTGAGCCAGACGTTCCCAAGGTATCCCTTGAACTGTGGGAGGGAAACCGATCCATGGAGGAATATGCCCAGGAGGTGTTCCCTGTGGAAGAGGCTGCCAACGGTCTCACTTGGATGGAAGAGGTAGAGACGCCTAGGAGAGAGATCGAGATCGACTTTGAACAGATCAATTGCTGACGGCTGGCTTCATCTTCCAGGGCGAGATTTTTCAGCATTCCAACGTTGTCTTGGGTCTAAGCGAGCAGCTCAACCAGGCGCGACTCTAATTCCTTCGGTTCGACATGTCCCCTTGGTTCCCTCGGCGTCGGACGGTAGCATCTCAACGGCGTCTGGCCTTACCTTTCCTTTGGAGTATCGGGGTAGAAAAGCGGTAAAATGCATGGTGATGGGATGCCTAGGGCGGCAATCCCGGGCTCTTTCTGCGGGTCCATGTCGTTATCTTGACCACTCGTGGTTTCCTCGCTCGACATCGCGCAAGCATGGTGTTTGGGCTGCCTTTTTCAGCGTGTGCATACACTGCGGTATACCAGGGGCGGTGGTGATCTGCATTTTCAAAAGTTAGTCCTTTCTTAATCACTCCACTAGGGAGATGTCCACTTGACTGTTTCATGGAAGCGATGTGGGTGTACGGGCTAGGTTCACACCGATTACGATCGGTGCATTGCGACGGTGTTTGAACTGTAGCCAAGATGAAAATGATACACAAATACGAACAATTGCCAGGATGAGTTGCACGAGGCCATCAGTGAAGCATATGGTTGTGAAGGGGGGCCAGGCAATTGGGCTATGCGGGACGGACGATTGCTGACATAAGCGACCTCGAATTTCCTGAAGCTGGACTCTATGCGGCGACGACTGCAACTCCGCCCGCCAATGTCAGCCGTCATACCCTGCACGCGGGCTACAGCCCAGCGAGTCGCCTTCCGAGCCGTGCGATGTAGACGATTCGCAAGCACCGAGACTGTCGCTGTCGATGCAGCGCCCACGACGCCCATACTGCCCGCCAGGCGTGAGCAGCGGCTGTCAACACAGGAGCCGGATCTCAGCCAGCGGTTGCACAGAGCCTTGTATCCGCACTTGTACGGAGAAGACGGCCAGTTCACAGGCGGAGAACTCGTGAGAATGAAGCGCCGGAAACAGAAGAAGCCCATCGACTCCAAGTGGCAGCCGGTGATGAAGCAGAAGAGCGTAGACCACCAATTGAGTACGGCCACCCCTTGATGCCAGGCCATATTGCTGCATGCTGAACAATGGTGCAATGGCACATGGCGGTCATCTCCTGACGAAGAAAGCGCTGACTCTATCCCACAGGCCATCAATTCGGCGTACCCGTCTTCAGGCCCACAACGCTCAACATCAAGAAAACCTGTCCCAACCCAATCTCAGCCGTAAACGCCTCGCAGATCAGCCTCCTCGACCCCACCGGGGCACGAACCCGCCTTTTCGCAAAGGACAACCCAGAATGCGCGCGAGTCGGCGACATCCTACTTGTGCGCCAACGCACCGGCGATCCCTTCGCTGGCGTATGCATCAACATCCGCCGTCGCGGTACCGACACTGCTATCCTCCTGCGCGGCCAGCTTACCCGTGTCGGTGTGGAGATGTGGTACAAGGTCTACAGCCCATTGGTAGAGGGCATAGAGGTTGTGCAGCGGGCGGCCAAGAGGGCAAGACGCGCCAGGTTGACGTACATGAGGACTGTCAAGCACGACAGGGGAAGCGTGGAGAATGTCGTCAGGATGTACCTCAGGCAGAAGGCTGCCCTGGGTACGTCCGAGGGACAGAAGAAGAAGGGTGCCGGGGCTGCAGCGGCCATGATGGGTGGCAAGAAGAAGGGCAGGGGCAAGAAGAGGTAGACCCACGAGAGCGTCTCACACTGTACATATATGTACAATACTACGAGCAATGTCAAGGACATGATCACTTGCAGCCTGAGCGTGAAGCAAGATAAGTGAGTTGTGCTACAAACAACGCGATAAGAATGATGATCACAAAAGCCAAGTGTAAGCCCATTAGACACGCTCTCCCTCTGAATGCGACTAACACATCCTATCAGACTGGCGACCTCTCTGCTCTATTGTGGGACCTGGTCCTCGACTGCTCTACTCTCAACCTAATGCACCGTTCCGTATCCCTGTGGCTGCTGCTGAACGTAACCCTGCTGTGCCGGCACAACCCCATGTCCTGCCTCTACGCCCGCAGGCGCAGGCGCGACAGGCACGCTCTTGTGTCCTCCATTCTGTACTTTCTGACTGTACACACCCGGTGCAGGACGCGCGTTGTAAATGCCCGCGCGTATCTCGTCGCGTCGCTTGATGTACACGTATTCGACGTAAAAGGCGTGGATATGACCGGGAAAGTCTGAGTGCAGGAGAAGTCAGTGCATGTCTCATGAGCATTTGACAGAAGACACTTACAGCCCAGGATTGTGAGGAGAAGGTTGATGAAGAAGTCGGCGCCGCAGCCCGCTACGAGAAAGACACCGAGAGGTGGGACTGTGGATGGATTAGCTGGGATTTACTTGGAAGAAGGAAGGGGAAAGGCTTACTGAAGATCGTGATGAGGATCAAGAGTAGCGTTTTGATCATGTTTGTGACTGGCTTCTGTTTCGCGCTGTAGTGATGTACTTGGTTATGCGCTGCGATAGTTGATGTCTGCACAGGTGATGACTGTTTGTCTGCGTTTGATGTCGCACGCCGGACTGTGTGACTTCTCGAGCTGGTAAAGGTACGCGACTAGCTATTCGCGGGGACTCTCAGGTCTTATAAACACCCTAAAGGCCATCACGCCCATGCGTGAACCTTACTGAGCGCTCATGCTTCAACGTCATGATCCTTGTCCCTGTGTGGCTGATTGGCTAGCCACAGTGTGGCGCGGATGTCTCCGGATGGCGCATGGTGACGCTGACGCGTAAGGTTGGCGGTTACCTGGAACGAACGCGCCGCAGGACTTGACTGTCCTTGAAAAGCTTGCACCCATAGCCTATCGCGTCTAGCAATGAGCGCCCTTCTGTGGCGTTGTATGCCGTCTTTTTTTTTCTATCTGCGATCGTTGTCGCCCTTCATGATGTACCCAGCCTGGCTGCGATGCGTTGAGCTTCGACATGTCTTTCCTTTCCTCGGTCCCTCTTGCAACGCTTAAGCATGGCCAAGTATACAATTCTACCTTACATGATGGCCAGGGACACGATATCTTACGCAGTCGACCGAAACGTATTCCTGCACCGCCGATGCCTGCTGCTTTCCTAGACGTTCGTACCTCTAGGCCATCTCTGAAATCAGGCTTCCAATCTCACCGACGAACGTCGACACTGCAAATTGGTATACACATAGACGCGAGCATCTATCGGCGCTTCCTCTATCTCTGGATTCACGTTCACTGGCACTGCTAGTAAACGAGAATGTCTGAATATCTGAATATCCCCGATCGAGCAAAAGCTCTGATACAGAACAAATATGCGACACCATTTTTGGTACAGGTCTTTCCGATAGCAGGTCTGCGATAAGATTCCACTTCAGATCTCCTCCGGCTTGGCAAGATTATCGGTGGAAGCGCGACACCACTCATCCAAGTCAGCAAGCGGATATGCGGCCAAAATCAGCCTCACAGGGCTGACATCCGGGTGTTCGGGCAACGACAGCCCAGCCTCAAGGTCACGCGGCTGATCAGAGTGCGCTTGCAGGTTCATGACATGATGTTCCCGCCAATCCTGCAACTGCACCAGCTCGGTTAGGAAGCACGAGATGGAAACCCCAAGCTTTGCATACGCTGTGGCGTTTTGATCGATAGGAATACGATGCTTGGTGTCCCTAACCAGTATAAGCTGCAAATATGCGACTCGATACCCTGAGGTATACATAACATGGCTTTCGTCCTGTTAGAATTACTGGATGTAATGGCGCCCATCTTCATTTTCGAGCCACCTTAGCAGCAATCATGACCGGCGTTTCGCCTTCCAAACCTACCGTCACTCCTGCCCCTACAACGACCCAAGACTGGTTGCATGCATCTTTCTCGGGCGCAGCCTACACACCTCACGCTCGACATCAAATTCGTGCTTGTATTCAATCCAAATTCAACCGCTGTCGAACGGACGGATGGTATGGGTGGCCGATTGGCAAACGTATTGGAATCATTATCGGCATAGTCATTGCAGTGATCGTCGTCCTATCAGTACTGAGATGCTGCTATAGTCCCCAATACTCTCAAGCCCGAGAAAGAAAGAGACCAATGCTCCTAAGCGAGTTGCGTAGCCAGCAGGCTGCGGAAGAAGGGGCCGCAACTGAACGGCGTTTTGCGGAAGCGCTGTACGGCGAAGCCAGAAGTGCCCAAGGGAGAGACAGCCACAACAGTAGAAGTGGAGATGGTGGAAACCTAGTTGGAGCAAGACAAGACCAGGGAGGGCGGAGCAGTGGAGGTCAGGACAATGAAGGAGCACCCTTGGAAGATGTACCTCCAGCATATCACGAAGCTGTGAGAGAGGATAGACGTGCGCATACAGAGATTGCACCCCACGCGAATAGCAGTTCGTTGTCAGGATGGCCACCAATGTACGCCGATGTAATGCAGCCTGCACCTGTTGCAAGCCCTCCTTCGCGAGTTCGGTACCCGGCCTTGCCACAGTCTCCAACAAGATAGAAACATTAGTGGCGTCTTGGCGTTGGAGACCACTTTCCAGCCGACGATATGTTAGTTCTCTTCCTGCACTCAGCAGCCAGCGTATCAAGTCCTACCGACAAACGTTCCAGGTCCCTTCTTTTCCAAGCCAAGGCCTGAGGCTCAGCACTATGACCAACTACGGCGATGAGCGACGCTCTTACAAACGCAGAGAAGAGGAGAAACTCGACACATCCGGCGGGTACGTCGAACCTGCATCTGGACAAACGCCTTTTGGGGCTTTTGGGCAAATACGTTGGCTTTTGATTGGTGGAAGTAAGGCCAAACGGTCAGGCTGAGAAGATGGTCGAATGCCAGATCGGTGTATGCGTTGTGCAGCGTCAGGGTCAGCCTTACGTCGTAGATCTAGTAAATTATGTGAAGAGCAGAGTACCAAAGCTTGCTTCTGCTACTGCCCACAACTGCTATACATGGTCTATCGTGAACTTGTTTCGTGACGAGCGATCACATTGCACTGTGAGTCACTACCATTGTAAGTACAAGAAGGTAACTGACTGCTGGATCTTGCTGAACCAGAAGACAAGAAAATATTGACTGCATGTTCACATACTTCGTGTTTCGAGCAGAATCTTTGTTCGCGTCACCGGAGGTCCCTGTGTACAAGTGGCCTGTATATCACTCGAAACCTCCTCGCCATAAGCAAAAGCCCATCAGCACCTTGCACACTGGGTGTTATCCTTTCAAATCTTTTAATATGCCGACCACGCGCCCTCGGCCTACTCAAGCACCTAGCAAGGAATCGATCCGCACAGCTATCATCGTCGGGCTCATCATCAGTCTTCTCGGTGTCATTGTTCTTACCTACCTCCTGTACCAGCGCCGCTTACGACGTAATGTGAAGGCCGGTAAAGTCATGGGCAAACGCGAAGTAGGGGGATCGGAATGGCAAAATAGAGCGAGACGAATGATCAACGACGAACAGAAAGGTCTGGAAGTTGGCGTGGTTCGGGAACCATTGCCAGTTTATACGAGAGATGTTGAGCGGGGCGAGAAGAGGTTGGAGATGGGAATGGCGAGGTGAACATCCGCTGTTACTGCCCTGCGTGGCAAAGGTGGTCTGCTGAAGGTGTGAGGGTGATTGCGCTGAACAGGGCGAGACGAGTGGACACTCACAGCCACCAAAGTGCAGCCAATTGCTGGTGTTATCTTGGGTATCCTTCTTATAATACTTTTCGACTCTTTCGATTTCCCTTACTTCTTGACATGCATACACATTTATCCAGTACGGTAGTACTTTTCTTCGTGTCCATTCGCGCCGTTTGTTCCGTTAGCGTCTCCATCGACGTCTTCCCTTGCCCTCACTGTTCCAGCTCCGGGACCCAGCTCCTCACCGATGACCATGCCGCTGAAGTTGCCGTTTTCGTCCATGTATTCATCCATGTTCTCCGCTGTTATCCAACCCGATGCGCCGGGCGCTGAATCATCCAGTATGTCGTCGCCATCGTCGTCGCTGCCATCTGGATCGGGGTGCAGATCAGCGCAAGTGTTCAGCGCATTGAACAGCTCCGTGATACATGTCTCGGTGGGTTTCGAAGTGTATGATGGTGGCAGCACGGTGATTTCGAGCATATGGATGTCATCGTCTTCGTTTACGGATTCGGCATCGTTGAGCGAGATATTTACGTATAGCGCCTCGATGGTGGACTTGTACTTCATCGTTGCGTGGAGCGCGAGGGATGGGAACGGGATGGATACGCCGACGGGCGAGGGCGTGCTCTGGAACAGAACGACATTTCTGCAGTCATATATCAGCATGATTCATGGCTAAGCAGCAGCCGGACCTACTCTGAAGACACCCAAATGTCAACGCCCTCGACCAGATCCTCTTCGCCCTCGCGCTTGGAGCTGAATTTGCTGAATGCGGCATCTTGTTTAAGCTGATCGGCAGCTGTCACCAGAGTCATTCCCTCATAATGAGCATGTAGGACGGGTTTTGCGCCAAAGAAGGAAGTCGGGGTCTGGGATTGGTGTTCTGATAGCGGGGTGAAGTCGTCTGCCTTGGGGGCGCTGTCGAGGTGCTGGAGTGACATGGCGGGGTCTCGTGGAATGCGGTATTTTGGAATTACTATGGGACGAGCACAAGAGGATGTCGATACGTGGTTGTAGTGCGAGCGCGCTATTGTTGATGTTTAGACGTGTATAGGCAGCTAATTGCTGAGGGACCAAAAAGTCGCGGGAGCTAATCGAGCGTCATCGCCCCACCTCGGCCTTGGCAGGTACCAGATGCACGGCGCGTGTGCGACTTTCCTCCCTCTCCGCATGTCCTTGACATTTTCGCATAGTTGCGCATCGCATAACCATTCACGAGAGGGAGGAACCGCTGGAACAGAGCGCAATTGTTCCGCTACCGACATCGCCCCTAATTTCTTGTCCACAATGTCCTGAACACCCATATTTCGATAGCTGCGGCATCAGAATACAACCTCCGCTTCCTCAAAGAAGAGCCCCGTCGCGTTCGCGAACGATAGCAGACAGATTGGTACTGCACTTCTCAGCCTGCGATTGCCCACGAGAGCGTAATGTCATTCCCAACAACGCCTATCGCCAAATTGACTGGCCACGGCGGCATCGTTCACGCAGTCGCCTACTCCTCAGGTCCCCAAACCTACATCCTAACCGGCTCGTCCGACCGCACAATCCGTCTTTACAACCCTTCGAAAGCGCCGCCTACCTCTACCGCCCCAACATCGTCCTCGCAACGACCCCCTGGCCTCGTGAACAAATACACAGCGCACGGCTATGAAGTCCTCAGCATCCATGTGAACTCGGCCAATGACAAGTTTGTCAGCACAGGCAGAGATAAGACAGTTTTCCTGTGGGACGTGCAAACGGCGCAGACGATACGCCGGTGGACTGGTCATGCTGGACGTGTAAATCGCGGCGTGTTTGGAGGCGAGAGCGACAGTATCATAGCGACGGGCTCGTTCGATGGCACCGTCAGGATTTGGGATACTAAATCCAACGCATACAAGCCCATCATGACCCTGTCAGACGCCAAAGACAGCATCTCTGATGTCGCCGTACACGACGCGGATATTATAGCAGCGAGCGTCGACGGTCGTGTTAGGAGTTATGACATCAGGATGGGTACGTGTCAGGTTGATGTCGTGGGACCGAGCTGTACGAGTTTGGCCGTTAGCAACAAGGGCACAGAGCTTCTGGTTGGCTCCTTGGATTCGACCGTCAGGCTCATGGATCGCACCAACGGCGAATTGCTCAAAACCTACAAGGACGATTCTTTTGTGAACAAGGACCTGAGGGTTAGAAGCACTCTTGGTTTGAACGACAGCGTCGTTATCAGTGGCAGTGATGACGGTATGGTCTTTGCCTGGGACATACTGGAAGGGACATGTCTGCACAAATTCAAGCATTCCGACATGAGGGAGGTCAGAGGTATAGCGGCTGCACCAGCCACCAAGGCGAAGAAGGATGTCGTGTCCGCCGTGGCCTTCTGCAAGACGAGGCGTGAGTGGTGTAGTGGTGGTGGCGATGGCAACGTTGTTGTCTGGGGCATGGGAAACTGAGCAGGGGAGATGCCTGATTTCGCCATTCATGATACCCTTGTAGAAGCACCCCGGATCTCGTAATTATTAACTATCTTGACCTTTGAATACGACTAAAAGCTTCACAATGCTCACCTCGTGAGCTATCATATCTCGTCATGTCTTCTCACTCACCTGGCTATATTTCCTCAACAGCCCAGTGCAAGTGTTTGGGCTCTTGATTGCAATATTGTGAGCTTGCATCATACTCGAGGTTTAAGTCGCTTCATGGCCTGTGAGCGAGACGGGGTGGTGGGGCAAGATGTGCATAGTTTCAGGCTAGAAAGTGTGGTCGTAGATAGATAATGTTGTATTTCATAAACGTATATAACAATCTGGATCGTGAGCAACGTAATGGTGATTGGCAGTCTGGGAAAGAAACACGAGAGAATGTAGGGCCAGGGGAATGCCGATACCCAACAAAAACCGATAATAAGAGTCCAACTGGCCATGGGAGTAGAACCGTGTATGTCATGCATAGCCCAAGCGGGGCGATGCCAATGAAACTCGCCCAAGTGCCTGTAAGGCTGACAGAAAGCTTGCTGGTGGTGATCCGAGCTTAGGCGACGTCTGTGGCCTACCAATCATGGAAACTCTCTAGTCGAAGTATTTGACCGTACGACCTATCTCGTAGTTGTAGAGATCTGTAGCTGTCGAGCCTCGTGGTCTCTCTGGTGGGTAGTCAACAGGGCAATTGTAAACTTTGACAACAACACCGCGCTGGGGAATCCCTAGAGGAGTTAGTCTGGCTGTGTGTTCCTGGAGCGAGAACTCACTGGTGAATCGATATCCGTGCCATGGGTTCCAGCGCCCTGCTGTGAACATATGGGGCAAAACCGACGGAAGATACTCTCGAGAGGTCGTGAAGGCCATCAGAGCCAGAAATATCGGCAGCTCACCCACGACTCCGCCATATTGAACGTGTGACGCAGTAGCGTTGGTATGGTATATGTCAGGTAAGAGCAGGTCTGCCGCCCCGTTTTGCAGTTGTACACGAAGCATGTTGTACTGGCCAGCATTGGTCAGATAGGACGATTCGGGAGGGTGCTGGTGATAGTTGAACTGCAGTCTGTGGAAAACGTCGTGAACAGGCGGATTTCGCGCATCTCCTTCCAGAACCCAAAATCCAGCACCGCTTTCGTAATATACCGAAAAGGTTTTGTACCGTTGAGCATTACGAGGAAGCTGGGGAACTTCGCGTATCTGCACCCCATCGCAGAGCCAAGTCTTTCCGGAAGCACCTACACCGGGCGTAAAGTCGTGACTCGCATAAGGGCCTGTCGTAGGCTGCCAGATACCATGAACATCATACTGGGCAGGAGTATTCCCTAGGTACTCGTAAATCTCGTCGATCTGGAAAAGGTATGAAGGCTGGAAGAATCACTTTAGTAGGGTACACATCCATGGACCTGACGCGACTGACCACTGGGTTGGAATAGGTGCCCGACATTGCTTGCTACTCGTGCGTCTTCGTGCAGTAAGTCCCGATGAGCGGCGTAGTTCTTGTGACTGTAATGTGGTGCTCTCACCCGGCTCCAGACCACCACTGCCCCCTCACTCGACACGTCTTTATCTTTCTCATCGCCATGCGGCTCTGCGTTTGACGAGTTGCAACGGAAACCATCCCAGTCAAGAGGTCAGGCGACAAGCTCCTACATGGCAGCAGTGCGGGACGGGATTTCTGATTGACGGCCAAGATTTCGGAGCAGCCCTCTGATAAGCTAGAGATGCCCTGAAAGGGGCATGGCGCAAAATCCTGCATCGGCTGCAGCAGACGTATACGTGGGCTACAGGTAATCAGCCCAGTTTCCCCTACCCCGCTGTGGACATTTTCATTCCCTGGTCGCTGATGTGTGTCGTTGTATAGCTGCGTCGGGTTTGCCGGGGGGACGGTATAGACAAGCAACATCTGCATGTCTTGTGTCGTGTTTCCTGTCCTCCGAAGACTGTGCTCTGTGAGAATGGTAAATTGCCATGACAGCATCATGATAGCAGTAGTGTTTCGGTAACGGTTGGCCTTCGGCTGCATCTCAGCAAAAAGCATCGGTGCCAACCGGCCGTGGATCGCGCCCAACGTGTCCCATCGCCTGCAGCATAACAGCCGGTCTGAACCGGCGAGCCAACAAGATGGAGTGGCACAGCGCCAACCCGAGAGAGATCAAGGGTGGATCCCTCCTAGCGAAGCGCCTTGCGTGTGCCGTCCGTTGCACGGCACTTGTTGCGAAACAGTGGAAGAGCCATCTGTCGAACAGTCTAGCCGAGAGGCGTGGCCAAAGCCTGGTTTATGTTGATCCCACGACTGCAACGTGAAGCATGTGTTGTATTCGCGAAGGTGTTGCGGCCACATGCACTATGATTGCCACCAGAATCGTTGTGTCCTGCTTGTGAGTGAGTGGAACATCGCTTCGCAGATCAAGTATGAGCAGGACTGAATAATGTTGCGTCGTCAACTATGCATGCTTTTGTTTCGTATGGTCAAACCATTGCCGCGATAAGATGTGCATGTATCTTGGGACAAATATCCCAGAGGTGCGGCTCTGCGAGAAAGAGGGGTTATAAAGCCGGCGTACGGACATTGTGGACCAACGTTCCTCAGTGGGCGCGTATTGTATTGATCGACCGGCAAGCGTCTCCGACTCTTTGTGTCCGTTCGGCGGCTATTTGAAGCGACATCTAGAAGTTGGTTCAAAACACGTCTCGAGTAAGTAGAACAGAGCGGCTCCCGATGTATGAAGGGCGAGTGTGCCTTAAGTAGAAAGGAACCGGCTGACAGACTAGGCGTGCGGCCCCAAGACGACCGGAGGACCTTTTTCTGCCTGTTCGCCTTCTTTCCTCACTTTCAAGTATGCCTGATGCTCTTCATTGGTGAGCCTTTTAAAGAAATTGCCGCTAATGTGCAATGGATAAGTACCCCTTACCTAGTTGGCGGCAACAACCTGCTGATCGAAGCAGATGGTTCCTGCAACCTGCATGATCGTGGAACTTTCTTCACCGGACGACGACCCTTGTCGTCTCGTGTGTTCGCCCGACAGCAACGCAAACTGGCGGGAATTACGAACAAGCACTCACCGGTTGACATGGCGGCCCAGGCACACGGGATGAACTTGCCACGATAGAAGTCATGCGCACTTTGACGGCTCAACTCCCAATCAACAGACTTACTGCTTGTATGAACCGCACGGAACAGAGCGCTCTCTATCGAATCGAACCCCACTGCCGCGCCCGGCGGCTACTGTCAAATCCGGAAGCCGGTCAGATAAGGCAAACTGACAATATGACCCCGCACCGAAGCCTCGGGCTTCAGAGCGGATACCGCAAAGTAACAGTCAAGGCGGCGTGGCCGAAAGAGGGGCGTATCACAGCGTGCGCGGCTTTGATGTCCTGGTGGAGAGGCAATTCGATCGGAATCCTGACACTATACAGGCCTCAACAAAGGATATGCGCTCACATCAGGGTAGGCTTGTCTCGATATTGGCATAGAGCACATGGACAGGAGCTGTTTGGTGGTAGTCTATGACACATGCGGCACAGGTAAGGTTCATGTCTGATCTGAGACGCACTAATGGCCAGACAACGACTGACTTAGTCGGTAGCAGTATCCCGAGTGGCTCGAGCCGCGATGAATTGGTCATCGAGAGCCCAGAAAGCAAGCATCCATTGGCTAGGACCAGAACGCCGCTTCTAGACGCCATTTGCAGGAGTAAGATCTGGTCTATGGCGGGCCAAACTGACGAGACGGGCCATTGACGCCGCGATCGTGAACCTATGGAGCAACCCGCCAAGAGATCACCGGCGGTACGAGATGGACTCGAGGAAGTCGAATGATAGCTCAGCCGAGCCGAGATTGGTCTCTATAATGGCCCCGACCATGAGGTGAGGGTTTGAACACCTTATCCGGTTCTGCGGCATGCGATGGTGGGAAGCAACCGTCGGGACCTGGCGGTACCCGGGCTTTGGTCCGGAGTATACATGACCTAGATGCTTCTACGCCGTATGCTGGCTCCCGTCACGTTCGGATCAGGCTTCTTTCATGTCGCCTGAGTTATAGCAACTCTCCACCAGTATTGCGATGCTTGCCCATGCCGTCAAAGACTCAAGAGCTCGAGTAGGCGCGTCGGTACGGCAGTGTGGGAGAGAAGCGTGTACGAATGGAGAGGCCCTGCAGGCATCGGTATGGACCCAGCCGCTAGGACGCGTAGGAATGCAAGTAGCGCGTCGGTCGGGGAAGGCACGGCGCCTGGCTGCAGGAACAGCCATGGACAGGAGCGTCAAGTATGACGGCGGATGAGCAATAGGTGTAGGAGGCTGAATTCAGGGCTGGACATGAGGTCTGACGCTGGGATGAAGTCTGGTACCGGCTGCGGAAGCTAAGGCAAAGACGCGGTCTTTCCTCCTGGCGATTCGGACACATCGCCGCCCGACCAATCACGACCCACCCGCACCACGTCAATTGTCTGCCTGAAAGTGGCCCGCACGACGGCAGACTGTGCTCCGGACATTGGCAGTTCAGGGCAATGTCCTAGCAACTCGCTATCGCGGTTTAGAATGACGGCGAGTACGCCATCCAGCCTCTTCGTCCTATGAACGTGGTCCTAGCTCTGGCAAAAGGGGAGTTTCGCGTTGCTTTTGCAAAGCTGACCCTACACAGGAGAGCTCACAATGACGGCAATTATCACGTCCAGAGAATATGTTGTATTGTTCCGGATGTGTACTGAGGAAAGTCCGTTCTAGCCTTGATACCAAGTCGCGAGCCATTCATCTTCAAGCCAAACAAGGGCGTGTATACGATAGGCGGAAACTGCTATTTGCCCCCGGGTCTATCATTCTCTCTATTCACAGCAGACGACGCCTCTCAAGCCTTCGGTTCTATAGGATAATGCAGAAACTGCAATCCTTCTCGTTCATCTTTGCTGCGGCCATGTTGCGCGGAATCTTGAGCCTGGCTTGAAGTCAGCGTGGTCCTCGATGCAGTTTGCCTAAAAGTCTCACGAGTAAACCATATGTCCTACCAATACGTCCTTACACCCGCCGACCAACGTCTCGATATCGCGCCTGGTTTGCTCAGACTCTTGAGCATGCGCCTTCACAAGTCGGGTCTCTGCCTCCAATAGCCTCGCCCAGCTCTCCTCCACCATCTTCACACATCGATCGACGGCAACCTGCGCACTACATCCCTCGTTCCATACCATCACCGGGATGGCAGAATCGATATCGCCGTCGTCTATCTCCTTCCGCAAGCTCACAATGTCGTTCCAGAGGAAGTCGGAGATGGCTACTTCGCGCGTTATGGCTACTACAGCTTCGTGGTTCCAGATGGACGGTGGAAGAGTGAGGTTGTAGGCCCATTGCATGACAGCAATGCACGGGTTTGTACCAACAGTTCTCAAACGGCGCACTGTATATTCCTCGAGAGTAGACATCCCTTGCGCCCATGTAGCCTGAGATGTCTTGACGCCGCGGATAAAGTCGTAGATGGTTTCAGCAAACCGGTCACGTGCTTCTGCAATGCTTGTTAGCTAATATCTGCCTAGCATACTTTGGATGGACGTACCTCTCGACTGGCCCTTCTGCATTGCTCTTCCTATGTTGACCCATGGACCGCAGTTATGCAACCGCCCCGGTGCCGGAACTTCGCCAGAGAGTTCTGGCTGCAAGCAATGTCGGATGAAATTAATTGTGTCGTCACAATAAGCTTCGGTCTTGTCACGATCATCTGTCAGAGTACCGCAATCGATCTCGTCATCCCAGAAAAAGAACTACAGTTTACGTTAGTCGACAATCGCGATAAGGAATTGGGCCAAGTTACCCAGGCCACAAGCTCTCCTAGAATAACGAACGTCTCTGGTTCGACATGTGTCCAAAAGTATCCCGCGCAGAGTCCGTTGTCTACCCGACGTTGCTTCTTCCTTTGACTCTCGGTACTGATGAACGTTTGGAAATATCCCTCTAGATGCTGTCTCAGCACCAGAACATCCGGGTGCACTTTAGCTGCCCAGTCCGTGTATATGTAATGCACATCCGGAACATGGATTTCTTGATCGCGAAGACGAGCAATAATCCTGGTGCGATGGTCTCCGGGCTTGGTCGGCGCTTCCTTAGCCGCGGAGGAGCCGAGCTGTTTAGAGCTGTCGGTGAACTCGGGCATGTAAGAAGATCTCGATCTCGATCGCTGGAGTGGGTAAGTGTGATGATGGTGAAGAAGGAAACAACAAACGATTGAACAAGACTTACGCGTCTAAAGTACGATCTAGGAAGCGACGTCCAAGAGTTAAGAATACTGAGAATTGCCATAACGACTCAATAACAGACAAACACCAAGTATATTGTACAAGACAATCGCACCCTCCGTAATATGGTAACGGAACAGAGGTCTTTGTATACTCTCATACCACGCCGTTCACATGCTGGCCCCTCGGCAGTCACTTCCCCGTCGCCTGGGGTCTCGAGGCGCCCTACCATTCACATAAAGCGCTCTTTCACTGCACCTCCGGTAAACGTGATCCACCCCCGAAGAGCCCCCAGAACCAATCGCAACCTCTCAAGCTGGACTGAATTGACGTAAGCGAGGCGTTTGGGCACAGTCCACATGTGTGCTATGTAAGGAGCTATGTAAGGGTAATGCGTTGTTACACGGACTCGGCTGTCACTGTACGCCACGTTTCCGCAGTTGTGAGACACGAGAGCGTCCAGCTCCGAATCACGATATACCACTGGGGCAGATGAGACGGCCACCGATCGTCTGAACCCGCGCAGGGTCATCAGCTTGAGGTTAAGTCTGGAACTACATCTCAGCCACCACTGAAATACACTTGCTGACTGCCAGTCCTTTCGCTCAAAATCATTGCGCATTGGCTTGTCGATTACATCACGAGCTGATAGGTTTTGCGCCACTTTCCTGCGACTGAGCCACTCTCAGGCAGCTCTCAGGATACGAATAATGGCACCGTATAGTATCGCTGTATGCACCACATCCTGTCAGACTATAGTGGCGTCGTCCCCAATGAGTGCCTGCTGAGTCATATCTTTAGGCCCTCCAAGACACGGACCCATGGCTTCACATCCGCAGCGCAGGGGCTGAATGCTGAGTACAGGTAAATTACGTAGAATCTAAAGAACTACCCTGCGACTCGAAGCACGGGATAAGAGATACGCCAAGCCATACTGCCGATCTAAGGACCTGTGCATGCACTACTGCGTCCGTAGTAATGCAGAAAAATGTGCCGAGTATCTTGAAGTGTTATCGGCATACAGCTCGTTTGGATGCAGCTCGTTGACCCTTACATAGAGGCCGCATGTCCGATAAGATAACCGAGCGTGCCGAGCCACAATCGGCTTCCCGGGTCTACTATGCCACCCAGTCACAGGCGTAGTGGCGCTTTGGGAAGTAAGACTACTGGACAATGCAGTTATGGCACATAATCACAGCACGGCGATATACAAGCGGTGTGCACTACAATACCCATCACGCGCTATCAGAATACAAACGTGTAGTGCATGTAGGTATATTGGAAGGGTTGAAGGATCATGTTACCGTACGGTCGTCAGACATTGGATTGTGTGCAGTCGAATGGGACAGGTGGAGCGAGGCGGCAGGGGGCCATCTACTCAAATATCTAGAGAGGACAAATGGAAACTTTTAGGATATCATGCGTCTATCTGAGACATATCTTCCGATGATCAACCAAGCATGGCTCAACACCATTCGCCATGAACCTTTACGCCCAAAACCCAGTAAGCCGGGTGACCCGATGGCTTTCACCACCACATCAGATCATCCGAGTCCGCCTGACCAAAAGTCTGCATGCCCCCAACTGCTTTGGCTCAGTGGCAGCCACAACAGCATCCTACGTCCTCTTCTTCGCATTGACGTTCTTGCCTGCGCCTACCTTGACTCTGCCACCGGCTCTGCCCCGATCGCCTGTCAGAATGCCCGGCAGATAGTTGTCATCCATGAGGTCCCTCGTCCTGGTCCTCTTGTCCTCTTCAGCGCGCTTAGTGTATTCCTTCTGGTCTTCAGCAAGGATGAGGTCTCGACCCCAGCCGCCTTTGCCTCCTCCCTGACCATGACTCCACTTTGTGTTTGCAGTACCGGCGATGGGCTTGGGGATGCTGTATTTATCGCCACGCTTGTTGTACTGGTAGTTCTTGGCTAAGTGGATCTTGAACTCTCCAGCGGCGTTTGTAGAGCAGGAAACCCTTTGTAGGGTTGCTTGACCACAGCGGGGGCAGAATTGCTTGTCCATTTGCTTGACGATGTTGAAACAGGCGTGGCACCGGAGAACCTTGGTGTTGACGTTCTTGATGCGTTGCATGTTTGTGGAGAGAAGTTGGAGATTCATCTGGAGCAATACGTTTTGCATCGCAAAATCGATCGTCATGGTTGCTACGTCCAGCTGGCGATTGGCTGTTGTGTGAATTTGCGGTTGGATGGCTCCGTCCTTGGCTTGGTGTTCTGTAAGGTTCTGTGGAGTAATCCAGTCGCCATCAGAGTCAGACTCCGCAGCTGAATCGTCAGTCGTAGGGGGCGTAGGTTGTTGAGTGGCGTGATGGGATACCGAGAGGTCCTCCAGTTCCTGCGCCAGTTTTGATTCGTCAGAGCTGACTTGCTGGGTTTGTAGATCCTGCTGGCTGGAGGTCTCAGGCGCGAGTGAGAGCTCTGCCTTCTGCTCGATGTGGATGTTAGTGGTGGGCACCTCGACCGCCGCCGATTGGTCGATTAGCCCCAACTCACCAGCCTGTTCTTGAAGCTGTTCTTGAACTTGCTCTTGAACCTGCTCTTCGATCTTTTCCTCCGCCTGCTCTACAGCTTGAGACTCGAGCTCTCCCTCGCCCTGTTTCTCAAGTTGCTCGTGAATCTGGTCATGCACCTGCTCGTGAACCTGATCCTGAACCTGTGCAACAACCTGCTCATGTACTTGCTCCTCGACCTGCTCCTGAGTGACAGCTATTCCACCTTCTGCTTCGTCTGTTTCGGCTTGGGCGGTCTGCTCCTCCGATTCATTGGCTTGTTCCAGGCTGCTGTCTAACTCCGCTGCGGGCTTGAAGTTAAACTTAGTAGATTTGGGCGCTTTGGCCTTCGCCGCCCGCTTGCCTGTAGGCTGCTCCCAGCCTTCATCAATGTCGTCTGGTTCGACAGATCCGGAATCGATCTGTACGCCTTCCATCGCATCTTCAGCGGTATCTTCGGTAGTCTTGTTGGCTGCCTTCCGCCTGTTCTTGCGCTTCTTTGCTGAGGTGGAAAGGCCCCCACTCTGCGATTTCTCCTCGTTCGACTGCTCAATCTCTCCAGGCCTCCTCTTTATTCCTCCTTTGGGTATTTCTCTCAGGCCCCAGTCGCCACCGTTCCTCTCACAGTGCACTTCGTAAGCCAGGGCTAGGATACCCAAATCCTGCCTACTGAGTACCGCATGATCACCTGTCTTCTTGCTAAACGCAATGACTGCATCGTAGCTTGCCGGCTGAGGATTCCGTATCTTCAGAAATGGGATCAATGTTGTCTGTACACGTGACCGTGTGGCTTCATCGCGGATTTCGGAGAGAATAGCAGGAGTAGTCCATAGTTCTTCCGCGGCGTTGATGATAGTAGAGATCGATACTGTGTTCTTGATCAATGGGCCCGTATCCAAAATAAGCGAGTGAATGGGCTTTTGCTGGGCCGCAGTGGGTGTTGCCATTGCGCGGTAGACCGGCAGTAGTCGCAGTCCGGTAAACAGGAAGTTTCAGTTTGTTGTACGTGGAAAGTTGAGATCCTGATATTAAGTTCGGAAGGTTGCGAGGTTTGGACCGTCAATATGACTAGGGCGTGCCGCTGGTGTGGTAGAAGATTTCGCGATGGTGGCGGTGGGGCCCGACTTTTTTGGTGTGAGACCCTCACGAATTTTGATTGGCCGGATCGCGCTGGTGGCAGTAAGGGGAGCCTCGTGCTGGAAGTAGATGAGTCGACGCTGGTTCAACATATATTGAGTCGAACTTTTTTTGTAACACTGAGAGACGGCCAAGATTGTATTCCATAGCCCTTGATATTGTTTTTAGTCTCGTTGGTAAAGTCGAGAGTCTCGATAGAGTGAATCCTCCAAACGCCGCCCAATGCTAAGTCGCGAGTCTACCCCAACATCGCTTGTGGTATATCGTACACATACATCAATGACATGAGTTCCACCCCAGGTTCGACTCATAGTCGTGATGGTCGCCTCACAGACATTACGCGATAGGTTTGCTTCTCTCGTCCTCTGGCATACGCATATACGCATCGATGGCCGCACTGAAAACTGCGAAGCCTGCGCATCCTACGGCCACGGCTTGCGGCCCAGCATTTCTTGCCAATATACCCCCAGTCAAGCAGCCCCCCGCCACTCCGTTGTACAGATCGTTCTTGGCTCGGAGCCCCTCGATTGCGCACTCGGTGCCTGAGAAAATAGCACCAACTTTGGCGAAGTTGCGTCCGCTAGAAATTGAGGATCGGTACATGTCGCGCAAGCCGGCCCGTAGTTGCTGGCGTAGGGGAAGGTCGGTAAGCGGTACGGTACCGGTAGCGGTGGGGTTTGGAAGGGTAGCAGTCGCAGAGGCCGAGGGTGCTGAGGTGAGAGTGGCTGCGGATGCGGAGTTGACGCTACCGGTAGCTATCGTCGAAGGCTTGACGCCTGCCGTTGCCGTTGCGCCGGTGGCTGCGGTTGTAGGTTTTGTAGCCGGCGTGTTGACGGGGAGGGGCTGTGACATCGGGGTATCGTATCGCATCTGTGCATGTCAGTCGTGCCTTCTCTTTCTTTCGAAACTATGAGTTGTTTGGCCACATACGGAAGCCATGAAGAGCCCAAACATAGCACCCAGACCGCCACCCATTACGCCTGCCATTACTGTCTTGCCGATGCAAGACTCCATACCCATTTGCATCTATTCGCATGTTAGCCATGGTTCCCCAAACATATTATTTGACAGCCGTGTATAGCCAGCTACACCCTCGCGACATGCTATTATGTTCCACCGCAATTGTATAGAGGAGACGGGGTCGCACATACTGCTTTCACCATTTGCTGCTCCTGCTCGGACATGCCTGCATTGGGATTCATGGCGGCTGGCATGGAGCCCACACCTCCTGGAAAAGCCATCTTCTTGAAGCTGATTACGACTGCGGCACGAAGCAAGCGTGAGGTACAAGTGATACTGTTGCAAAGGCGATGCGATGCGCCGCCGCCGGGAACTTTTGCGGAGTTCAGAGCGGAGGACGGGAGATGCCGGGCAGGTGGGTCTTGGCACCGCCACTCCAGCGTCACGGATGTCTTCACACATGTTGCAAGCAAGCGATTCGGTCGCGTCGTTTTGAGGTATTCGGATTCTCATTATGCTTCTACGACGGTACATGTCTACCCGAAGCTAGGTTCCAATATGTACAATTACGCCAACGCCATGCTATACCTTGAACTTTTCCACACAGCAAACCACCTCTTCAAGAAGTTCTTCAACACTGAATTAGACATTGCTGTTAATGGCGTCGCGTCATAATGCTAAATCGCTAAATGCAACTACCGTTTCAAACGTTCAGTTCATAAAATCGCCATGCGAGTAATCTTCACTCCTCGATTCCGGGGGCGGGGTGAGTTGCTTCTCCCACTCTTTCATTAGATGTGATGCGGTACGCTTCAGGTTGCTGGGTGACACCTTGGTCATATCAGGCCATGGGATGGAGCTGCGCTTTGACTCTCGTGGTGTCAGGTCCTCTTGGTTGATGGAGGTGAGCGACGATGCCTTGGAATCGTGACGCTTCGAGTGGTATCTAGTGCTGGTGCTAGTTCGAGAGCTGCCTGGGCCGGACACCGGCGAGGTCTGCGCATCCGATTCATCTGAGCTGTCCTTGGAGTCTTCCAAGTCGACCAGAAGTGACTCGTTGGGGGTGTCCCAGTTATCCCAGTCTTCTTCGGATGCAACTTTGCGGATCTGCTTTTGCGGAGTCGTCGTGTTCTTGAGTGCGTGCGTCTTCTTGTTGACTACAGTAGTCTTGGGCTCGCCCAGGCCCATCTCCTTCCAGAAGTCATCGCCAGTGGAACCTAGTTGTTGTGTGGTCTTCTTCGAGCTGGCGGACCGACTAAGGGCGGGGCGACCCTCGGACGGTTTGCGGCCAGATTTAGAGGGGTTCTTGACACCTGGTATTCCAGTATTGCCGTCCGCCGTGTTGACGGCCTCATCGCCCACCGTAGCTTGTCGGATATCCTCCATGAATGTGAATAGCCCCTTCTTGAAATCCTGCGCCATCTGAGTGCCAGCCCGAATGAGCTGCTCACGTTGTATGGTGGGCATGCCGCCCATGTCGTATCGGTCGTGCTCGCCGGCATTGACGACCTGTCGTGTGATCTCTGACGAGGTGGAAGCCCGTGCAGGAAGCTGCGGTCGGGAGTTGGAAGCGGGGTCGTCGTGTAGATCGAGTGGCTGGGGGAATGATGGCGACTGGAGGCGGTCGGGAGAGAGTAGTGATAGGGTTCTTAGATGTCGCGAGCCGCTGAAGACCTTCCGTTGGGATGTTTTGGTGCTGCTGAGTAGGTTCTTCCTGCGCTCCATCTCTTTCTGCATCCACGAATTCGAACCATCGTCTTCGTATTGGCCCGGTGGAGCATTGGCGAGCGATGTGTTGAGAGGCTGCAGCGCGGCGACCTTGCGCACCTCATTGCGACGCTTGTTCGCTTCGTGATGGGTCCAGTGCGTCTTGAGCGTGTTCAGATCAGCCTCTGCTTTGGTGAGCTCTTCCTTAAGTTCGAGGACATAGCGCTCTTGAGCAGCGAGAACCGCCAGAATGTTCGTCTCGGAGGTAGAATCCTCGGGTTCGGGCGAATGAACAGACGTTGCCCCGTTCATCCATGATTGCGGGCGCGACCGTGTCGAGGAGGTTGGTGAACTGATGCCCGTACTTGGCTGGATGGGGAACTGCAGGGACAGGCGTTTGCCTTGCCCGATGACGTCGACCGTCTTGGACCGAGAATGCGACGGCATGGTCTTGGGTGGTGAAGACTGAGAAGAAGCGTTGGAGTCGGGGGCGTTGGAGGATATTATTGACGACTGGGATGACGACTCGGCCCCTTTGTCGTGCAGGGTTGTCGGTGTCTGTGCTCTGTCCATGGAGTCTGCTCCTCCGACGAAGAAGATGGTATTGCTGACGTACTGTCCCTCCTTGAGCGTACAGAGAATGGTTGAGAGACGAGCGCGGCGAGCGAGTCGGTGAAGAATAAGCGAGGCGGCGGCTGGGGAGCTGCCGTAGACTTCGAGATAAAGGGCTAGAAGCGCTGTAGGGAGGCCGACCAATCGGAGAAGGAGCGACCCTCTAAACCACGAGAACCAAGACTTGAAGAGCGTTGAGCCAGCGGCGCAAGAACTCATACCAAAGACATTGAAGAGCGCATGCCACGGAGTTCAGAGCGGCAACGAGTATCTAGAGATTCCTACAGCCGAAGCCGCAGTCTTTGTGCAGCCGTCGCTCACGCGCGCCGTGCTCAGGCCATCAACAACCCAATCCAGGAACCCATCTCCTGGCTGCATGTCCAAGGGACTGCTTGCGCGGCTAGTCTCGTGACGGAGGCCCTGTGTGGAGACGGTGAACCAATGTCCGTCTGTTGAGGGCGACGTCTGCTCTGTCTTGTATCTACTGCCGCCCGCTCATTGCTCCATGGTATACTCAGACGTACAGGTCACCACACGCGCAGTCTGCTGTCGAACACATGCTCGGTCCCACATTCTCGAGACGACACTGCCATGTTGCGGAGATGAGGGGTCGGGCCACGTAATTTGACACCTCAGAACACGACCCATGTAGCCGTCAAGTTTGAGCTAGCTGGGTAGCACGTCGAGTGTCCGGTCAACGACGGGTAGTGGTCATCTTGTACTAGACTCTAATTTTGCGGTTGCTGAGGAGAACCGCGACGGATAACGTGGTGCGCGTGCCCTGGCGGTTAGACAGCCATGGAGGCCCATCGTCGCCCTCGTCCTAATTTGCAGCAACAGCCAGGAGTGCGCTGTACAGGCGGCCTGTTTCAGGCTACGAGGACTGTTCGCAATCCAGCCTAGCTGGCGGTGCGTGGCATGGTAGGTTTGACATGCCTGGAGTGCCTCGCAGCACCATGTCGTTAGCTCACGTTTCCCTCAGCAACCGGAAAAGTAATCATCGGCGGGATGAGGCGCAGACGATGCACCACCACACACGTCTATTGGCAAGACGGCTGACGGTTTTGGTAGCCGCTGCTGCATGACAGCCGCAGTGGGGAGCTCATGCAGGGCAACATTGGAGAGGAGTGGAATAGGCTGCTCTGGACATGGCGTGGACAAACTGATCTTGGATGCCAAAGGCTCCGCGATACTGCTCCGACGTCTGGTGCGCTGTCCTGGACATGCCCGACCTGTGTTGTTTTTCTACAGCACTGATACCTACCGACGTCATGCCAATCTCCGCCAAAAGGTGGCGGCGGGGATGTGCGTTTGTTTGACGATCAGGCTGGTTGCCTCGGCGATGATAGGGCTGGACCCTGCGCGATACTCTGATATACACCACAACGGCGGCGCAATTGAGCAGCCCAGTACCACAGCCGAGTCTTATTCCTATCCCAACCGTCTTCCGCCGAAACACCACTGCATCTATCTTGGCCCGACCCCGACCACATCGCATATTTCTCAGCCATTGCGCTCCGCCTAGCGACATTGTAATCGCCCGCCATGGCCGAAAACTATCAAGTCATGGAGGAGCTGGGCAGTACGTTTTGACATAGCCTGGTCGATTTTCCATTACTGACCATTGCAGGCGGCAGCTTCGGAAAGGTGTTCAAAGCCATTGACCGCACAACGGGCGAGACAGTCGCCATCAAGCACATCGACCTCGAAGACAGCAGCGAAGAGCTCGCCGACATCCAAGCCGAGATCTCGCTGCTGAGCACCTGCCACAGTCCATACATCACCGAATACAAGACTAGCTTCGTCAAGGGCGTCAAGTTATGGATAGTCATGGAATATCTGGGTGGAGGTTCTGCCGCCGACTTGGTACGCAGTCACACAACGGACATCACGTAGCTAGACTAACCGTCATAGTTGGCACCAGGTACCTTCAGCGAAGCACACATCGCCATCACATGCCGAGAGCTCCTGCTCGGGCTAGACTACCTACACTCGACCGGCAAGATCCATCGCGATATCAAGGCCGCCAACGTACTCCTCACAGACCAAGGCAAGGTCAAACTCGCCGACTTCGGTGTCGCCGCACAACTCACAAATATCAAATCACAACGCATGACGTTTGTCGGTACACCCTTCTGGATGGCACCCGAGGTCATCCAAGAGGCTGGCTATGATTTCAGAGCCGACATCTGGTCCCTCGGAATCACCGCTATGGAGTTGGCAGAGGGCGCACCGCCACACGCTGGGTCACATCCCATGAAGGTGCTCTTCACCATTCCGAAGAACCCAGCACCAAGGCTGGAGGGCGAAGAATGGAGCAAAGACTTTAAAGACTTCATTGCACAATGTCTAATCAAGGATCCGGATCGACGTGCGACCGCGAAGGAACTCCTCAAACACCGCTTCGTCCAACGCGCGGGCAAGGTCGAGGCATTGCGCGAGCTCGTCGAGCGCAAGCAAATGTACGACGCCCAAAGGGAACAACAAGCGGCATCGCACCCCAAGTACTATGAAGAGACCATGTCAGTAACTCGCCGGACTTTCGCAAACAGCATGCTAACAGGTTTATCAGGGTCGATCTCTCCCCTAGAGCCGAGGAAGACGATTGGGACTTTGATACCGTCAAGCGAGGGACCGTTCAAGCACGCCAGACTTTGAAACAGCGTCGCAAACTGGCCCGCATACCCTCCTCAGGCAACGATGAAGTCGAATCCATGATGCAACGGATGGACCTCAACGCAGCACCCTTGGGCGACATAACCGATTCACCACTCCCAGCACGACGACGTCCGTCCTCTCGGAGAACTTCCCAAGCCACGGCTTTCCGCGTTCCGTCTGGCGATACACCCACCGCTCGTCGCGTCAGCAATCTCAATAAGTCGCCGTTGGGTGTCGATCTGACATTTGGAAACTCGCCATCGACCGTACGACACTTCAAGCGCGTCTCGTCGGGCGAACGTCGTGCAGCACTTCGCTCAAACCCCCCTAGCAACCCACCTGCTCAGAACAACCAGTCTTTCCAGCCGAACCCCGAAGCGCGCACCTTCCGCCCATCACCTCCCACGTCCAACCATCCACTGGACATGAACAACGAGAACGAGCCACCTGCTCCCGATGGACACATGCCAATCACCAAAGACGCGTTATATGGTCGCCGAGCGTACAGCAAGGTCCTGGACTCAGTATTTCAAGAGGCACATGCTGACACAGCATCGCCCCATCAACGCGACGCTATCGGACGAGTTGCGCAGGCCTGGCAGCATCTTGACGAAATCGACCCACATGGCGAATTTATGTTATTGAAGGCTATGGTGGACCGTCTCAAGAATGACACAAAGCTTGCGTACGCTCTTGGCATAGAAGTCTCGCCCGCGCAATCACCATTGAAGCACAACACCAAAACCAGCGACACTAGCTTGGGTGGTACAACTGTGCATGGTACAGGCACAACACGTGTTCGGTCGAGCACTACGAGTGCAGCTACGTCGACCGTCAGTAAGTCTTCAGAGGAGTGTGACAACACTCCGATATCGACACCGACACGAAATGGCACACCGATCGCCAACTCGGGCTCTCCGCTGAAGGGTCCAAAGCTCGTAATGGCCAAGAACAACCCTCACCTCAAGTCTCATAAACGCCGCCAGAGCGCTTTTGTGGTCGGTGAGAAGGGTTCTGGGGCTGATGGCCACGGTTACTTTGACGAGAAGAAACTGCCTGGTTACGTCGAGCCTGGTATGGAGCAGCAGGGGATACTGGCCGACATCCTCTACGGGCAATGGACACAAGGACTGCGTACTCGATGGCCTATCGCTTAGTGCTTTCCTCTTTTCTCCGTCTTATTGAACAGACACGAGTTTGAGTCTTTTAGCTTTTAGCGCTGGTTCCTTTCTTGCTTGTAAGGCGTTGTCGCGTTGCTCACGCGCTGTATCGCGACTTGGATGCTACCTTCCTCACTTTGTGTTCGGCGTTGATGGATCACATGTTAATGACTGATGAGATCGTGGTTATGGGTGGGTACCGGGGTCTTCATATCAGTCGTTCTGGGCGGTGTTTAATTTGCTGCGTCTCATCGATACATCGGCATTGGCACTGGCGTTTTGAGTTCTGCTGTGTCTGGCGAGAACGGGGGGCTTCTCGATTTCATGTATAAATAGTCCGTGGACGTGTAATGACAATAGCAACCTTTCTCGTCAACGTCGAAAGGAAGTGAACTGGGCTCGCATGTGATGACGAAACCGATGAACTCACTCTGGCCGGGTTATGTCCGCATCAATGTAGCCTGAACACTTTTCCTCATCGCGTATCTTGCTACAAAGAGCCCTTCGTCACCATGAACCCGCCAGCCAGGGTGCTCCTGTCGATATGCTCAAAGGTGGACAAGAACGCCGTTGTGCGGCACCCAAAGCAGCATAGTCCAACGCCGTCATCGTGGACCAGGACTTAGCAGCTGCAAAGGTCCCCCGCACCAATGCATGCTTTACCGCATGAGTACCTGGGTACCGTGATATCTGCATCCCGCAAACGTCAGTGCTGTCATTGCAGTGATGGCATCCCTGCTTTCGAAGTATTGGTCAACGCATGTGTTCATAATTCCGCATCCCATTGGTTGCGCGACGCTTACTACGAGCCGCGTGTATCCCTTCGGTAGCGAAATGCCCAACTCTAACGCCTTTCTCCACCGTTGCAGGGCTTGGGGGACTATAAGATGGGTCTCTGGGACACCCACATTGCTGGGCATCAAGGCTTGTCGGAGCTTGTTTTCCTTGGTATACATACCTTTTGAAAGACCTAGGCTTCTGCGATTGTCAAGATGCGCATCACGACCAACACCGCCCGTAAAGGCGCACTGCTTGCCCTCCTTGCAAGGGTTGGAGCTGTACCAACTACGACAATTTCGGCAGCTGGGAACGCAGGCGCAAGCAGTGCAGACGTGTATCCTCCCGCTGGCAGTAAGTCTGATCGAAGCTGCGCAGAGAGCGGAATGCTGATGGGTTGATTGTGTAGCCGAGGTCAACTCCGAACTCTTCCCGCCAGAGTCTGTCGTCGGCTTCCCTGGCCGTAAGTCACCAATATTTCCTTGAGCTCTGGTCTTTAAACTAACCCAACAATCATCAGCGACTCCCACAGGCGCCGAGCCGAATGCCATCCAAACAGCACCGTCGTATCCTTACAACGATGGCGATGCATCTTCATACCCTCTGATCAAGCCACAGCCCCAC